CAGCTTGCCGTGTCATCCAGGAGTTAACTGCACCAGTTTTTTGGTAAAGCAGCGATTCTGGTGGCCATTAATGGCTCGTGGCATTCGCAGTTTGACTGGTAAGACTTCCAATCGACCCCCAGATGGGTTACTCCAACCGCTGTCTGTCCCTTCGAGACCCTGGTCCCACATTGCGCTAGATTTTATTACTGCCCTCCCGCCGCTGGTCATTTTGACCGTCGTGGACCGGTTCTCGAAGGCGGCTCATTTAATTCCCTTGCCCAAATTATCCTCCGCCAAAGAGACAGTGGTAACTGTTGTACTTACTTAACTTAATTCTCTCCGTGCCCGGAGGCACAAAAGGCTTGGACATCACTCCTCCATTGGGTTCGGTTTGCAGCTGCACGTCGTGCTGTGTTCCACGTGTTCCAGCCTGCACCGTTTCGTTCCAGTTCCACCATTCTCCGCCAAGTTGTTTTTGGGCGGCCTCTTTTCCTTCTTCCTTCAGGTGTCCACCCGAGGGCCACAGCACAGTCGTCCGTTCTGTCCTTTCTCAGCACATGGCCGATCCAGTTCCATCTCCGTCTCCTCACCTCCTCACTGATTTTCTTTGTTTCTGCCATCTCTAGAACGGACTTGTTGGAGACGTGTTGCTGCCATTGAATCTTGAAAAGCTTCCGTAAGCATTTGGTCTGGAATATGTCTAGCTTCTTCTCCTCTCCTTTGGTTAGTTTCCAGGCCTCGCATCCATAAAGCAGAACCGAAAGTACTAAGCTCTTAAAAAGTGGTAACTGTTGTAGATCACGTTTTTCGCTTACATGGCCTCCCGATGGACGTGGTTTCTGGGGGTCCCCAATTTGTGTCCAAATTTTGGCAAGAGTTTTGTAAACTACTGGGGGCGAGTGTCAGTTTGTCTTCGGGGTTTCATACAAAGCAATGGCCAAACCGAGAGTACCAACCAAGATTTGGAGAAAGTGTTGCGATGTTTGGTTTCTAAGAATCCTTCCTCCTGGAGTCAACAACTCTTGATGGTGGAGTAAGCCCATAACTCGTTACCAGCATCATCCACGGGCCTCTCTCCGTTTGAATGTAGCTAAGGTAACCAGCCACCTATTTTTCCCAGAATGGAATCCTAAGTCGCGGTCCCCTCTGCTCACGCTTCCGTCCAGAGGTGCCGCCACACTTGGAGCAGAGCCCGTGAGACTCTTCTCCAAGTGGGGGTGCGCACCAAGGCTAAGGCCGATCACCACCGGTCAAAGCCTCCCATATACGTTGTTGGTCAAAAAGTGTGGCTTTCAACCAAGAACATTCCTCTCCGATCTGTGTCTAACAAGCTTGCTCCCAAATTTATCGGCCCGTTCACTGTCACCAAGATCATTAGTCCGGTGGCAGTCCGACTCAAATTTTACCCTGCGTACAAGAGAATTCATCCCGCCTTCCATGTATCTAAAATAAAACCTGTGTTTCATGGACACATTAACCGCCGGTCCTGGTTCACAAAATTAATGGAATGCATAGCTGATATAAAAATTTGGATGACTAGTAATTTCCTACTACTTAACTCTGAAAAAACAGAGATTCTAATTATTGGACAAAAAACTTCCTTACATAATAACCTAGAATACTGTCTAACACTTGATGGCTCCTCTGTCAATTCTTCGTCGTCAGTTAGGAACCTGGGTGTGCTCTTTGATACCAATCTCTCATTTGAAAGCCAAGTTTTCTAGCATCTGTAAAACCACATTCTTCCATCTTAAAAATATATCTAAATTACGACATATGCATTCAATGAAAATGCGGAACAATTAGTTCATGCCTTCATGACCTCAAGGCTAGATTATTGTAATGCTCTACTGGGTGGTTGCCCTGCACGCTTAATAAACAAACTACAGCTGGTCCAAAACGCAGCAGCTCGAGTTCTTAGGAAGTATGGCCATATTAGCCTGGTTCTGTCAACACTGCATTGGCTCCCTATTAAAATTGTATACATTTAAAAATATTGCTGACTACTTACAAAGCACTAAATGGTTTAGCTCCCCAGTACTTGAGCGAACTCTTAACACATTATAGTCCTTCATGTCTATTGCGATCTCAAAATTCTGACCAGTCGATAATACCTAGAATATCAAAATCAACTGCAGGCGGTAGATCCTTCTACTATTTAGCCCCTAAACTTTGGAACAGTCTCCCTAACATTGTCCGGGAAGCAGACACACTCTGTCAGTCTAAATCTAGACTAAAAATGCATCTCTTTTACCTAGCATTCACATAGAACATTATACATTTCTATTATTCAAATCAGTAAAATGATTTTTAGACTGCATAGATAAGGTCACCTGAAACCGGGGACACTTCCTATAACACCCGATGTACTCGTTACATCGTAAGAAGAATGGCATCTACGCTAATTTTAGTCTTTCTGTTTATTCTGTGGATTGCTGAGGTCAGCCGGATCCGGGCCGTATCCAGATCAGATGGTGGACCTGGGCCTGGACACGACCACAATGCATCTGTTATGAACTGCTCCAAGACACAAAGGTTGAGATCCAAATGCAGCTTTAATTAAGGGGCAATCCAGACACGTAATCCAATATACTGGCAATTGGTCAAAACACAGGTAGGCCGTCCAAACAAACAAACAAACAAAACTGGCAGGGGGTCAGAGGCAAAAGAGTAATCCACGGAACAGGCAAGAAAAACCAAGAGACATGAAACCAGGGAAAATGCTCAGAAATGCAGTGCAACAACATACAAAACTTCGCAGTGAGTGAATGAGTGAACATGGTATAAGTAGGCTGAGACTAACAGGGTAATGAGACACAGATGAATGCGATCAGTGATGATGAGTCCGGGCAGTGAGTTATGGGAAATGTAGTTTGTGATGGAGTGATAAAAGTGACTCCAGCAGGTGACCGTTACAGCAGGGGCGTCACTAGGCCCTTTTTAGGGGGGCTTCAGCCCCCCTAAACTTCTGCCTAGCCCCCCTAAAAATGTGAGATTAATGTAGGCTACACAAATTCGTGTTCGCTTCAGTCTTGTTATAATCAGATTCAGCGCGTTCTTCATCTTCAATTTGCAGCGGCGCCGACAGAGAGCACGTCAGAAACAGAGGACAGGGTGTGTGTGTGTGTGTGTGTTCATGTGTGTTCATCTGAGCCTCATTGGTCTGTCACTGCTCGTCAATGTCAGAATATTTGAGATGACCAATCAAATCAAAGTAGGCAGGCTTTATGTTCACAGACGCTGCTGAGCGCGAATTTTAACAGTGCGACTCGACGCGTACGGTCAAGTGCGAGATAAGATGTAAGTAGCTAAACTTAACATTTCATATTTTACTTTTTTTAGGTCATAAATGTTAAACGAATGACAAAAAATAATCAGGCAAACTAATATAGTTTTGTCTAATTTCGCCATTTTGAACTGAAAATAGGCTGTAACGTGACTCATGTAATGTAATAATTAGTTTACAAGAAACATTAACAAAGCCGTTTTCATCATGTTAGGCACAAGATTAATAATGAATGTGTACATATTGTGGATATAATACAAATTGTAGCCTTTAGTAAATTAAAAAAGCTCAGCTTTAGGAGGGGAAGAGAAAGGGACGAAGAGACTGAGAAAAAAAGAAAGAGTGATGGAGAAGAGAAGAGAGCAGGTATTGACAAATAATCTGCCCACTGACATGGTTTTAAAGCTATTTCTTATCCTTTTTTGGTCTTCAAACGTCTTGAAATGCACATATCAGAGAAATAAAAAATTTGAACCCCCTACCAACCTCAAATTTAGGACCTCTGTGACTAAAGCCCTGTCTACGGCCCTGTATTAGGCATAAGATCAATAATAAATGTGTAGCCTACATATTGTGAATGCATTTAATAAACTTAATTACCTTTAGTAGCTTTCAGTAAATAAACGCATCTGAGAAAATGATTCATAGGCAAAATCAACCTATCAGTTGACCCTATGTTTACTTTCTTCACTGACAGACAAAAATGAAAAGCCTATATCAGTCAAAGCTCAGCTTTAGGAGGGGAAGAGACAGGGCAAGATAAAAGAGAAAAAGAGTGTGATGCTGATGAGGAGAGAAAAATAATCAGCTGCCCACTATCCAAGTTTTTTGGCCTTCAGAACATCTTAAAATGCACATATGTAGATCAGAGAAATCAAAATTTTCTCGGGGAGACCCCGAACACCCTTATTTGCCCTACCTCACATTAGGGACCACAGTTATTATAAAACCGTGCCTTTGCATCGTAATGAAAATGGTTAATAGTGATCTTTAGATCCTAAACTAAAGTGTTACATTTTTTTATTTAAAAAAAAAAATCATATTGGGGGCTTAGCCCCCCTAAAATGAAAATCCTAGTGACGCCCCTGCGTTACAGCATCCCTGAAGTGCCATCCTCATCAACACTGTGAAGGCCTCATGGACACCTCAACAAACTCGTCTCCATACTGGCGTGATGACTCAACCCCCAACCAGATGGAACTGGATAAATATTGCGAATGTTCTGATCCAATCTGACTTCTGACCTATAATGCTGATGGAGTTTGGGTTCCTCTCCACTGTTGCCTTGGCTTTTGGCTTGCTTAGTTGGGGACATTTAATATTCAACAATATTATTGATCTGCCTTACTTCAGATGGACAATGACGGAATTACAAAAATTACAAAATCAACCCAGCATTTGATAGTCATGTAACTGAGTAAAACACTTTCCAAGGACACTCTGTTAAACAAACAGATGTATTTTTGTGCTTATTTACAGGCATTGACGTGGACTCAGTGTTCCTGGCTAATTTAAATACATATAAATGTAATGTTCTGATTGGCTCAAAAAAAAAGCAGGCATGTTCTACTGACCAAGAAGGCTTAATAAACTTGAGAATGTTATGGTACTATACAGTCTTTGTGTCTGCTTGATCATTCTCACATCACAAGGGTTGAGGCGTCTGTTTCCACCTGATCACTGATAGCTGAGGCTGCAGATAGTTTTTTTTTATCAATCAGGCCAGTGCTGTAGCAATGCATCACTTCTTTTCCATGATGTTTTCACTGCTAGCCATTATTGGGCATGTGAGCGGTCGGCCTGCAGAAAGTCGTTCTGAGCGGAGCATCAACCAATATTACAGATCTGAGCTGAGGGTGTCGAATGGAGGGAACTGGGGATCATGGGGATATAAGAGCATGTGTCCAAGTGGATGGTACGCCGCAGGGTTTAGTCTGAAGGTAAGTTGCTAGTGTCACAGGCCGGAGTGGCCGACCCACCACCACCTCTAATAGGTGTGTCACCTCGAGGAGCAAACCAGTGAAAAGGCGGGACAACAAGGGTAAAGGAATAAAAATATTTGCTTTATTAAGTTAAGAACAAGAATATTAAAAGTCAATCCGCGTATCTTCTCTAGGCTTCGAGTAACGGGTAGTAGTTCCTCTTCAATGGTTACTGGACTCTGGGCAGATGGCTGCTCAGACAGCAGAGCTTCACAGTGGAACAACAAGGGCCAGGTAGGTGGCGGGTAATAACAACTCCTCTTCGGTGGATACTGGGCTCGGGGCAAATGGCCACTCAGACAGCGAAGCTTCACAGTGGAGCAACGAGGGCCAGGTAGGTGGCGGATAACGTACGACAACTCCTCTTCGGTGGGTATTGGACTCTGGGCAGATGGCCACTCAAACAGCGGAGCTTCACCGTGGAGCAGCAAGGGCCAGGTAGGTGGCGGGTAATGTACAATGACTCCTCTTCGGTGGGTATTGGACTCTGGGCAGATGGCCACTCAGGCAGCAGAGCTTCCCAACGGAACAGCGTGGACCAGGTGGGTTCTCAAGCGACAGAGCTTCACAGTGGAGCAGCAAGGGCCAGATAGGTGGTAACGTATTACAACTCCTCTTCGGTGGATACTGGACTCTGGGCAGATGGCCACTCGGACAGAGCTACACAACGGAACAGCGTGGACCAGGTGGGGTCTCGAGCGACAGAACTTCACAGTGCAGTGGAGCAGCAAGGGCCAGGTAGGTGGCGGGTAATGTATAACAACTCCTCTTCGGTAGATACTAGACTCTGGGCAGATAGCTACTCAGACCAAGCTTCACAACGGAACAGCCAGAGCTTCACAGTGCAGTGGAGGAGCAAAGGCCAGGTAGGTGGCGGGTAATGTATAACAACTCCTCTTCGGTAGATACTAGACTCTGGGCAGATGGCTACTCAGACCAAGCTTCACAACGGAACAGCGTGGACCAGGTGGGTGCTCAGGCGACAGAGCTTCACAGTGCCGTGGAGCAGCAAAGGCCAGGTAGGTGGCGGGTCACGTATAACAACTCCTCTTCGGTAGATACTAGACTCTGGGCAGATGGCTACTCAGACCAAGCTTCACAACGGAACAGCGTGGACCAGGTGGGTTCTCCAGCGACAGAGCTTCACAGTGCCGTGGAGCAGCAAAGGCCAGGTAGGTGGCGGGTCACGTATAACAACTCCTCTTCGGTAGATACTAGACTCTGGGCAGATGGCTACTCAGACCAAGCTTCACAACGGAACAGCGTGGACCAGGTGGGTTCTCAAGCGACAGAGCTTCACAGTGGAGCAGCAAGGGCCAGATAGGTGGTAACGTATTACAACTCCTCTTCGGTGGATACTGGACCCTGGGCAGATGGCCGCTCGGACGGCAGAGCTTCACTCTTAGTCTTTTGATGGGGAACACAGAGTCACTTATCAGTATACAACACAGTCGAATTAGTCGATCTCACCAGTGTGGTCTAGACGGTGTCGGCCTCCTCAGAGCTCTCCGTCGACTCCGTTACTTTGCCCCAGAAAACAGGAGGGACTGGAAGACCTCTCTGTATAACACCTCTTCGATAGACATGGAATCATTTAAACAACATAGCTCAGCGGCCCCGGTATGGAAGGAAGTCTGCTGTGATTTGGAGTGGAAAGCAAAAACCCCAAATCCACACTCATACAAATTCACCAGAACACTTCAGGAACTCACTTGTGCTCACTTCCACAATTTGACTGCAAAATTGAACAGACTCACGGTGCACCCCAAGGCATTCCTCTCACCATCCAGTTGACATTTCCTCCCCAATAGATCGAATAAGCAGGGGCTGAACACGAGTCAGTTTAACACTGTTGTTCACTGGCATCGAAGAAATCAGAAGATGTTTTGGTTAATTCCCAGCCTTCAGACACACGACTCAACCACCACAGTAGAAACTGTAAATCTTTATCTTCTCTTTAGAATTACAAAGATGGTACTTAACTGTCCCAGGCTGCCACAGTACTGATCAAAAGTCATTCGGAAGAAGAGTTGAAGCTCAGCCAAACTCACAACGCGTTTCCCACGATCCTCATTATTCATTCAAAGACGATATAGCTTAATTCTTCACCCACTTGAATTGATAGGAGTCTTCACAATCTCTGTCCCACTGCCTGTATCCCTCCGAATCCACCACCACGTCTCTTCTCTCATCAAGAATGGCTTTTATAACACTCTCTCCTAATACGTGTCCCAATCGCGGATCATAATCCCACGCGCCGCCACCTGACGCGAGTTTTCTAATCAAGCCTCGCCCGCCGCCATGATCTCCTCACAGGGAACCGGAAACGTCATGGTGTTCGGCCGTCATTGTCCCCCAGGGGAACATATCCCCAAAAAGAAAGGTTCCGCCAAGACGCTTGTCCCCCGTGACACTAGTCTGAAGGTAAGTTGCAAAACTGTGGAGTTGCTTTTTGTCATTTAATTCCAGGTTTCTCCAGGGAACTGCACCTGCTTAAGACTTTTAAAGTGTCTGAGTAATACTAAAGAGCATAAAGATTAATTTTACAAAGTGTTGGGTTAGAGTTTACTCTTTCAAATTAAAGATTGTCTCAATATTGTTGTTTTAAGGTGGAAAGACCAATTGATGGTGATGATACAGCGCTCAATGGGATTCGTCTTTATTGTGTCTATCTGTACGAAGAATCATATCACTACACCTCAACTGAGTCCGATGTAGGAAGGTAATGGACTCAGATTATTAACAATTCTTGCATTAAGTGTTTAAGCTAGATAAGTATATTGAGGATTTCCTTGAAATTGATTTGATCAGGCAACCTCATTGTGTGTTTTCTTCAGCTGGGGTGAGTGGACAAATATCAAATGGTGTCCTTCTGGATACTTGACAGCTTTCCAGCTGAAAGTTGAATCTCCCCTAGGAAATGGAGATGATACGGCCGCAAACAACATCAAGTGAGTGTGTGGTGCTATAAGTAATAACATCTCTTACCCAGTGTAAACCTCTTACACCATCTCTTACCCATCCTGGTTTTATTTAGCTATTTAAGGACTCAGTTTTCCCCCATCAATAGTTTAGTTAATATCACACTCGCAGTCGTGCTGCTGTTCGAGATTGCAGTGATTGGGCCGTCGGCTGCAGGAGATCATGTGACTGACATTCAATCCGACCTCACAATTACATATTTTATCATAATATTGTCACATCTGATTTTTTCCAGGTTCTACTGCACTGGAGGTGATGTGCTGGAGGGCGACAGCACAAACTGGGGCGACTGGGGTGACTGGAGTCCAATCTGTATGGGAAGAGGAATCTGTGGCCTTAGTACACGGATAGAAAAGCCACAGGGAAGAGGAGACGACACCGCTCTCAATGATGTGATCATGTTCTGCTGTGATTAAGGTGATGTGATCGCAATCAAAGACTCAGATCTTACTAATACTGACTGCAGATTTAGAACTAAATCTGATATTTTTTTCAGGTGTAAGAGGATGACAACAAGAACAGCAAGAAGATAAAATGTATTGTATGATCATCATATTATGATAAACTAACATAAACCATGTCATACAACAGTTTTGTAATGAAATTCTGTAAAGTCAGTTGGTCATTATCACAAAATAAAGCCTAACCGGATGATCAGGAAATTTATTTTCCTGGATGATCAGGAAAAAGTTATTTTCTACTTTCTTGTAGGTTAGTGATTCTTCAGAAGACTCCTGAACTTCTGCTGAAACGGTTGTCAAATATCAGCAATAAAGACTTTCTAAACAGAACCTTGTAGTTTCACATTGTTTTGCACAACACTTTACATCAGATCGTTCATTACATTAGTGCATGTGGCAGATTGTCTAAAGCCACTTATATTGCATTCAAAGTAATTGTCTTATCCTTCATGCATTCCCTGAAAATGACCAACATACTCTACAGCAGTGGTTCCCAACCCTGTTCCTGGAGGCACACCAACACTACACATTTTCCAACTCTTCCTAATCGATCACACCTGAATCAACTTATCAGCTCGTTAGTAGAGACTCCAAGATGTGCACTGTTGGTGTGCCTCAAGGAGCAGGGTTGGGAAACACTGCTCTACAGGAACACTACATGATGTTTTATTAACAAGGTTCGGGAGGAGCAGGTGCAGATAATTAACCCAATCAGCGCAAGTGGAGATCAATCAGTAATCAACTCACGACAAGATAAATAACAGCAGAACCCTCCTTTGTTCCTTGACAGTTTATCAGCATTTGGCCCCGCAGTACCTTCCTAACATGTCCGGAATCGAGGTCTTCCCATTCGATGAAGAATCTTTCATCTGTCAGAATCAGGAATCTTTGCCGCAATCCTCTGGTGTTATCTCGCGGGCGTCAGGCCAAACAAACGGGTCATCGCCACCACGGGCGAAACATCTGCAATCTACTTCCGTGTATTTCTTTAAACTGGAACATTCAATAATTCCTGCCATTAGTGATGGCCAAATGAAGCGTTTCAAAGCATTATTGCTTTCTGATACAATTGTGTCGAAAATGGTTCATTACTCGAAGCTTCATTCAGATAGAAATTGCAGCACCATCTCCTGGTGAAGTAAATGTAATGCAACAAAGCTGACAACCATAAAATGCAAGTAGGTTTATATGTTAACGCCCCGTTTAGTACGTGTTTACCGAGGCGATCAAAGCTAAAACAGTGTTAGTGCTGAAACTCATTTATGTAGGTGAATTTTACAGATACTGATGAATTTCATGTGTTCACCTTGATAATAAAACATTAGGCATGATGTGTGTATGTAATTTCTTTAGACAAGGACAGAAGATCAGACCAGCTTTAAAAAAGTTGGAAACCATCAAAGAAATTCTAATGGTTTCTATTAAAGTACCAATAGGAACCATTGGCTTTTACCATTTAAGCCACTTCAGAATTCTTTTTGTAGTGTGTTTGGGACATATTCCATTAGGGATTTAATGCCCCACCAATAGAACCCAACATATATCATTAGAGACCCACAGAGACCACTATAATTTCCATTACAACCACTAAAATTCCCATGAACTCAATCCACTCTCCTCAACAATAACGCCAATCCAAACACCGACTACTACAACCCACGGTGTTGCCATGGTTTGGCTTCACTTTTATAAGAAATACAGCCGCCAGGTTTCAAACCTGTCAACACTGGATTGGGCTGTCAAATCAGTCAGGTGGTTCACTACAGGAGTGAACCAGTGTGTTTGCTTCAGACGTCATTTTCACGTGACTAGTGACGTAATGATACAAGCTCCGAAGCAGTGGTTCATTGCAAGGACCGTTCGAGTTTGAAGCAAGCTTCGGAGCGTCGGTGTCAGACGTAACATCACTACCTGCCATAGAGAAATGGACAATAAGGCAATGCCGCCCTCTTAACACGAAGGAACGGGCCTTCCTCCAGCGTCAGGCCGCCGCAGCAGGCCCTAGTAAGCCGCGCTGCTGATTCAGTCCCGACCAGTCCACACTCTCAAAGTCTGCCGGGTCACCTCCCCGAGTGCTCAGCTCAAAACCTTTTTGTTTTCTGTCCCTGGTTGAACTTCGCATCGCTTCAGTTGTTGAATCACGAGCCAGTTATGCTATCTGGATACTCATGTTTTGATTGGGGGAACACTCGTTTTAAATAATTTCTGTACAAATGATTTGCCGCCATTAACGCGATGCTTCCTTGTGGCGTAAACTCACACGTAAACAGTATGTCGCACATTACGTGCAGATTGCACACAGAATCATTAAGAACCTGTTAACACTGTCCTGCAATGTATCTACAAAAAAACGCTTAGAAACTTAAAGTTATAGCGTAAATGTATTTTTATTTAATTTTTTGAAGTAATTTAAACCCACAGCTTCACTATTGTTTTTTCTGATTCAGAACGAACAAATCGGCAGGGAATGTGACCCATAGCCATATAAATAATTAAAATAAACTGTCATGTTGAGGGTTTAATACAATTTAATTTTAGGGTTTGAGGGTTTTTATATAATTTTTTTTTTATTGCAAATTACTTAACGACTAAATAAATATGCGTGTGCCACTCAAACCAGCAACGGACAAGTGACCAAACAATCATCTAAATCAGACTGTACTTTGCTGTTTGATGATCATCCAACATCAAACAATGATTACCGAATCAAACCGATGTGTCTGAGGTGAATGTACAGGTTCTAAAACGTTTTAGTCTTCTCATCATGTAAGCTCATCTGATCTCTACTCTCTCCCGTCCAGCGAGCATTGGTCTCCCAGCGGACATTCTATTTACTTATCTCTACTCTCTCCCGTCCTGCGTGCATTGGTCTCCCAGCGGACGTACTGTGTACTTATCTCTACTCTCTTCCGTCCAGCGAGCATTGGTCTCCCAGCAGACGTACTGTGTACTTATCTCTACTCTCTCCCGTCCAGCGAGCATTGGTCTCCCAGCAGACGTACTGTGTACTTATCTCTACTCTCTTCCGTCCAGTGAGCATTAGTCTCCCAGCGGACGTACTGTGTACTTATCTCTACTCTCTTCCGTCCAGTGAGCATTAGTCTCCCAGCGGACGTACTGTGTACTGATCTCTACTCTCTCCCGTCCAGCGAGCATTGGTCTCCCAGCGGACGTACTGTGTACTGATCTCTACTCTCTCCCGTCCAGCGAGCATTGGTCTCCCAGCGGACGTACTGTGTACTTATCTCTACTCTCTTCCGTCCAGCGAGCATTGGTCTCCCAGCGGACGTACTGTGTACTTATCTCTACTCTCTTCCGTCCAGCGAGCATTGGTCTCCCAGCAGACGTACTGTGTACTTATCTCTACTCTCTTCCGTCCAGTGAGCATTAGTCTCCCAGCGGACGTACTGTGTACTTATCTCTACTCTCTTCCGTCCAGTGAGCATTAGTCTCCCAGCGGACGTACTGTGTACTGATCTCTACTCTCTCCCGTCCAGCGAGCATTGGTCTCCCAGCGGACGTACTGTGTACTTATCTCTACTCTCTTCCGTCCAGCGAGCATTGGTCTCCCAGCGGACGTACTGTGTACTTATCTCTACTCTCTTCCGTCCAGCGAGCATTGGTCTCCCAGCAGACGTACTGTGTACTTATCTCTACTCTCTTCCGTCCAGTGAGCATTAGTCTCCCAGCGGACGTACTGTGTACTTATCTCTACTCTCTTCCGTCCAGTGAGCATTAGTCTCCCAGCGGACGTACTGTGTACTGATCTCTACTCTCTCCCGTCCAGCGAGCATTGGTCTCCCAGCAGACGTACTGTGTACTTATCTCTACTCTCTTCCGTCCAGTGAGCATTAGTCTCCCAGCGGACGTACTGTGTACTTATCTCTACTCTCTTCCGTCCAGTGAGCATTAGTCTCCCAGCGGACGTACTGTGTACTGATCTCTACTCTCTCCCGTCCAGCGAGCATTGGTCTCCCAGCGGACGTACTGTGTACTTATCTCTACTCTCTTCCGTCCAGCGAGCATTGGTCTCCCAGCGGACGTACTGTGTACTTATCTCTACTCTCTTCCGTCCAGCGAGCATTGGTCTCCCAGCAGACGTACTGTGTACTTATCTCTACTCTCTTCCGTCCAGTGAGCATTAGTCTCCCAGCGGACGTACTGTGTACTTATCTCTACTCTCTTCCGTCCAGTGAGCATTAGTCTCCCAGCGGACGTACTGTGTACTGATCTCTACTCTCTCCCGTCCAGCGAGCATTGGTCTCCCAGCGGACGTACTATTTACTTATCTCTACTCTCTCCCGTCCAGGGGCGCAACAACCCAGTGTCAGAGGGGTATGCAGCAACAATTTGTGTCCCATGTAATATGTTAGTAGGAACGAGTGAGAGCTAACAGATAAAATGCGTACAAAATTGTCATTTATTAATACAATTAAACTATAGCTACTCCACCGTGATGAACCCCCCTAAAAAAACTATGAGCTCCATTGGAACAGCAATACCAGTGTTTCTCACAGGATTTTAGGTAAAACTGTGTGGACCTCTGTTCCTCTGTCCAAATTCACTGAAAAATAAAGGAAACTTTCATAATTTGTTTTGTTCTAATTTCTATACTTGACAGATATAAGCACATCATGACATGTTTCATGGGCCGGTGTGTCAGAAAAAAAAACTAACGCTGACTTTTTTTGACCAATGCATTACACCGGCACTAACCCAGCGCCTCCAATTAAGCAAAAAAAAAAAAAAAAAAAAAAAAAAACAACAACGAATGGGCCGCCGATGTACGAGTTTTATGGGCCGTTAAGAAAAGAAAAAAAAATTTGAGATGTATTGGCCGAAAAAGCACATCGGCCCACCGGGAATCTCCCGGTAGTCCCGATGGCCAGATAGATAGCCTATGCCTGGATGTCACACTTTAAATCCGACCTGTTGGCTTTCAGCATGCACTTATTT